GCTGACCTTCATTTGTAAACAGCCTTCTCTCCTGATCAGATGTAAATTTTTTTCTGCCTCCCCTTCTTCCCACATCACCCTGGAATTCTTTTGCCATAACCAGACAGATGATAAAGGTTTCCACATGCTCATCTGAAGCCTTTCCTAAACAAATATGCTGACATTATTGTCATTCTGTCTTTCTGTGTTACCGCAGAAGAGTACAAATTAACACCAGCAGTACTCACAGGGCTTTACACAAAGCTTTGTTCCAACCCCAAAGATGAACCTTCTTGCGCCATCACTCACAGCAACACAGGTCCTTACACAAACACCCCCTCTGCCCATAACAAGGCAGCCCTTCTTGTGGCTGTCCCAGCCCCTCCTAATGAACATTTGTGTGGCCCATTCCAAAAGCTTAGACCTGCATTTCAGCACTGCTACCACCACACAGAAACACATTAACTGCAGCAGTGAGGGGATTCTTGGAGCCAGCAGTGGCAAAGAAGGCATTTGAGATCTGAAAGCCTGAAATCAAAATGGGAATCAAATTACACCTATTGGACAAGACACCTATGGAAGACCTATGGATGCTGGATACTCACGGGGTTGGACAGAGAGTCTGGTCCCTGTGCCAAAGGTTAGCTTTGTGACATCAGCTCCTGTATTCACACAGCATTGCTTTCCTTAACAAAAAGCCCACCCAGCCCTTGCGAATAAACACTGGTCCCCAAGCATTAGTCTGACCATGCCAAGTCACAGAGGGGCAGCAGAAGGGTCATCAGGGACCTTCTCACCCCAAAGCAAGAGTGGAAATTACCATGCTGGTTGTATAGGATGAGGCTGGGCTGAAACTGAGGGGAACTTCCAAACATTCTCCTCCTTCTCCTGACCTCAAAGCCCATCCAAACTGTCCTCTGTGTTGCCATCACAAAGGCAAATCCCTGACAAGATGTGAGAATGCCAGTGAGACACAGCACAGACTGAGAGCTCTGAGTACCCTTTCCCAAAAGCATTCAGACCTCCAGTTCAGCTCTGCTCACAACATAAGAGAGCTCTGCTCACTTATTTTCTGCAGCAAGGGCATTCTCACAGCCTGCAATGGCAGAGAAGGGTTCCAGCTCACAAAGCTGTAATAAAAAGATTAACACTGCAATAAACCTCCTGCAAAAAGCACCTATGGAAGACTGTTTGAAAAAGCACACTCACATGGTTGTACAGAAAGTCTGGTCCCTGAGCCGAAGTTCAGCTTGCCAGAGTTGGAGTTAGAATCACACAGTATTTCCTTTCCAAACAAAAAGCCCACACAGGCATTTGAGAGGCAGCACCTATCCCCATCCTGTGGTGCACTCTTGAGACAATCCAGGCCCTGATCCATGACTTCAGGAGGAACGGTTTAAGTTGAGAAAGTATCAGTGATTCATAGAACCATAGAATGGCTTGGGCTGGAAGGGCCCTCAAGGATCATCACGCTCCAAACGCCCTGCAGAATGCAGGACCACCAACATCCATATCTAATACCAGACCCGGCAGCCCAGGGCTCCTTCCAACCTTGTGCTGAACCCCTGCAGGGATGGAGCATCCAGAACCTCTCTGGGCAGCCTCTTCCAGCACCTCACCGTCTCTTAGTAAAGAACTTCCCCCTGATATTTAAACTATATCTTAGCTCAGCTCTGCTCACAACACATCTGTAATTTTGGCAAAGAAGGCATTCTTGAAGCCAGTAGTGACAGATAAAGCCTTTCAGTCCAACAAACATGAAATCAAAAGGCCAAGAAACAAGAAAACAAAACTACATCTATTTGAAGAAATTCCCATGGAAGACCTTTAGGAAATGGGCACTCACATGGTTGAACAGAAAGCCTGGTCCCTGAGCCAAAGGTCAGCTTGTCGGAGCCGTAGCCAGAATCACACAGCATTTCCTTCCCTAACAAAAAGCTCACACAGGAGCTTCAGAGGCAGCGCCTGTCCTGTCATTCAGTGGAGCACTCTCCAGACAAACCAGGCGCAGAACCATGACTGGAGGAAGAGCAATTTAAGTTGGAAAGAAGAACCCAGCTGAGCTCAGCCCTGGGAAAGCCTCAGGAGTTCCACGCTCAGAGCTGGATCAGTGTTACAATCAGACCCTTTCCCTGGACGTACTGCTCACAGCGTGCCTTACCAACAGCTGACTGCAGAGCCCAACACACACACGTACATGAGCAAAGACACACACATACTCCATCCCTGCGGAGAGCAGTTTCCAAAGCAGTACAGCTGGATTTACTAAAGGAGGGAATGCAACCTTCCTATCCTTTCTCATTCAAGCTGGCTTTCTACCTACCAGGTCTCAGTGCCAGTCGTGTCCCACCTCCAAAGGTCACCTTCCTGCTGGATGCTGAACTCACACCCTGACACACCAATGGCAAATACTACAGACAACCCTACACTCCAGAAACAGAGCCGGGTGCCCCAGAAAAATGCAGAGGGACAGCAGATGTTACCCCTGCCCTCTGCCTCTGACTCCACATTAGGATGCCTTTCTGGTCAAGCTCTTTGGACCGTTCCACACAGGAATCATCCTGGAACACGCACCAAGTGGGAAACCAATCCAGTGCTCGGGCAGCAGGGTAAGGAAACAGCCAGCACCCAGCTGGGCATTCACAGAGTGCGCTTTGCTATGCCCAGAGCTCACTCTCCTGTTCCCCTGCCACACTTCAGGCAGCTCTGCAGAGGCTTTACAGCTGCACAACAAGAAGCACAGGCAGCAGCGGCGAGCTCTGAGCAGGCACTGTGACCTCAGGAATGCAC